TAACGAGAATTAAGTATGTCCAAGATAAAAAGAGAAAGAGAGTCAATAATCAAGCACTTATTTAGAAAGTGTCACATACAGTGTGGTAATTAAAACCTAAACATCTGGAGAAAATGCAAACAGTGTTCAACGCTGGCAGGTACCAAGAGATCTGCAAGAATGATCAATGTGTTCTGTGAAGCAAGGGTCCTATTTATAGGATGAAAGCCTTAGAAGACTTTCTCAGCAGGAATCATATTAATTAAGAAGTGATAACATAGAAATGAGAGAGGAGAGATGCAAAAGGGGCACAAGAAATGCAAAAAGTGAATACTGTCTAGGTTTTTTTCTTTGGTGAGAACATAGTGTACAGAGACCATAAGAATATAACAACTAAATGAATTGGCTATTGGAAGTAAAAAAAAATTTTTTTTTTGCTTTTCTTCCTGGATGAACTCCACATGTGGTTTTATATGCTCAAATTCTTGAAGATTTAATACAACACCTTGTGAAGGCAGAACAGCAAAGTTGGGGTGGGAGTGATGGGACAGTTATTGCCGACAGGCACTCAGAATAAAAAGACGTTTCCTTTTTAGGCAGAATACAAATAAACTTGAAGACAATTTAAGAGTAGACTGAGGTTTTTTCTTTGCTACATTTATGTTAGTGTTCCTCCTCACTCTCTGCATCACAGTTGGCTCTTTTTAGGTATGAGTTAAATCATGTTTTCTCATAGGGGACTGTATGTATGTAGCTAGTATGCCTCTGCAGACACAAACAAACCTCAGGATTTCTCATAAGTCAGAGGAAGTATTCTCACTCATAGACATGGTGACAGATAACTAACCTGACTTTCCTGGGGCAGTAGGATCCACTCAGCTTTGCTCTTTTGAGACTACCTTATCTATCAGAGGCCAGGTACAAGATTCCTTCTGTAAGAAAGGATGAATGAGCTAGGATAGTAATTAGGAGCAGGCTTTCTATGTCTCTTAGCCAAATTTTCTAGACTGACAAAAGTATGAGGTGATAGTCTTTACTGTATCAGCCCCATCCAAGGAAAGCTCTTGTAATTTAAAGCAGGCTTGCAAATGACCACTGGATGCTCATCCATTTAAACTGTAAATAAGGGCTTGTTTTATTCTGGACTCTGATCCCAGTAACACCCTTAATAAGCTGCCTGAAAAGCCAGGGCATGACACCCCCTGTTGGAAACCTAATGATTAAAGAACTGAGCTTGTCCTTACAAACAGCTTAAAATAGCCACAAGAACATGAAGACAAACAAGTTTCTGGGAACACAGATAGTTATGTGGGTATTGTCAGTGTTAATCCAGTCGCTCCCACTGATGTGAAAAGCAAAGAGAAATACCTGGTACAAAAGATGTTAACTTGCTACATAGCACCCTAGAGACTTGAAAGAATTAATACAACCCTTTATAGGATGCTACCCATTTTTATTGAGGTATAGTAGATATCCTAGGAGAACTAAAGTGAACTTGAGTGCCTTTGTCCTGTGTAATTAAGAGGGCCTGATAATTCTTTCTTCTACACCTTCTTTTCTGTTTTTTTTTCTTTTAATTTTTAGATAGACTCCTATTGATTGGGGAAAATATATTCACACTTTAAAATGTTTTGCAGTACTATCTCTTTGGTTTAAATATGTCCTATTGGTGAGGGGAGGCACATGTTTCATGGTGATAAATCTACCTCATAAGTAGAAAAACTGTACACAAATATACTGCTATGTCAACTTCATTGATTTTTGTAGCATTGTAAAGAGCTTCATTGTCCTCCAATATATCTTAAATCTATCAGCATCTCAGAAAGTGACCCTGAAGGCGTCATTTATCTGTAGAGGAGAAAACCCCTTGGTTTAGGTTCACTCAAACAATATGATTTAAACAGCTCAGAACCACCTCAGCATCTGGAAAGGAACAGGCCCAGAGAAAGCTGTTCTCTTAGTCACAAACAATGACATTTCCTTTTTTGGAACTAGGATCTGCCAAGTCTTACTTAATTCAAATCAGCTAAATGCCCAGGGCCAAATGCCCTTTTTAAAATCCTCCATATAACTACAACTACTCTTGCAGCCTGATCGGTATTAGCACATTGAAGTGAGTAGATTCCACTGTAGGACTCTCTTAAGTCTCCTCTAAGCTTTCCTTCCCATCCTAGGAGTGGTACCTAGACCTAAGTGTTGTAGGCAATTGTTGTTCTTAGAAGAGCTTGGTTCTTGCGCTTCAAACAGAAGAATGCAAGCAGAATACTGGGTGTAAACGAAGTTTATTAAAAGTTAGGAAAGGAAATACAAAGGGGATACAGTCTGCAGGTGGAAAAAGCGTGTTTTTGCTCTTCAAGTGCTTTTAAACCCTACACTTACCAATAGGAGGGCAGACCAGGGGATTCCCACACAATAATGAACCAGTGGGGAGGGACATAGGTGGTTCCCAGCCAGGTGACAGTGGTCTGGGCCATCTCCAGGCAACCTACATGAGCCCCAAACTTTTCCTACTTCTAGCCTGCCTTCATTCTTAAGAGTCACATGCAAATCCAGCTCCTTGCAGTCTTGGTTTGGGTATTATCATCACATACTGTGCAGCTGTAGTAAAACCTAGCATGACATTCAATATTTGGCCTCATTTTTTTTTAAATCATGTCCTCTTCAGCAGCATCAATACAATAGAGGCTGTCACTGTAGTATAGCCATTCTACAGGATTTCCTTCCTGGATGTAAATCCTTTTGTCTTGCCTGTAACACTTTACAAATGTAAACGACTCACAAAGTCAACTGGTATGTGAAAACAGATTCAAAGGAACCGTCTTTCTGAATCTTAGTTCAAGAATCTTTAATTAGAAGATTACAGATATTGCAATTGCTACTAGGATATAAAATCTTGAAGGGTGGGATTCTGGCTTAATTCTCTTTCTATCTCAAGGGGCAAAGCACCTTGCCTAGCATACAGTTTGTTGATTGTTAAATTAAATTTACTAAAAATGTGAACTAGAGGAAAAATCAATAGAGATTACAAGAATCAATTCAAAGCTAACAAACAACTAAATCTCATTATAAAAATAAAGAATTTAAGCTCAGTTCCACAATTTGAGGCTGTATGCGACTGATCAAAATTATTGAAATGTAATTATTATTGATGGACCAGTAACTAGCCAGTAAAGAATATTCAGGATGTAGCTCTAAGTCTGTGGAGTTGACATTATAGGGCTGTTTGATACTGTGGCTATTAGTCATGTGTGGCTATATAAATTTCAATTAATTAAATTAAGTGAACTTTAAAATTCAGTTACTCAGTTACACTAGCCTTATTTCAAATACTCAACAGGCACAAGTTTTTAATGTCTAGAGTATTGGACAGTTTGAAAGAACATTTCTCTCATCACAGAAAGTTCTATTGGATACTGCTATTTATAGGGATAATCACTACTATTACTTCCGATAATTATATGAAGCAGGAGGAGTAGGATGAAAAGAAAGGAGAATAACGTGAAGAGAAAACACTGATTAAGTCTTTACTGTTCTGGCGAAGCACTTGAAATGTCCCTCATGAGGTAGGTACTATAATTATCCTATTTTAAATTTGAGGACACTGTGCTTGAAGATATCAAGTAAATCACTGTAGTTATGCATTTGGTAATTAGCCTAGATAAGTTTTAACTCAAGTCACCTAAATTAAGTTCTGTGCTCAACTATTAAGTTATGTTGTGTCTACTGAAGAACTTGAAATGTGTAGAGCAGAGAGAACATAAAACTTTATATCACTTGTTCACAACTATAGATACATAAGAAATATCTGAGTAATATTCTCAAGACACCATTACCTGAGCCCTAATCTATAGTCACAGAGGTGGGACCAAGGCTGGCACATTTGAGGACCACTTAATGCTTTTGATTTGCAGTCAGAGTTTGGGATGATTGCTTGAGAGATAGTCTCAGGTACCTTCCACAGTCCAGAAAACAAAATGCAATAGCTACTCAAGGTCTCTAACAGTATCTAATGACAAATCTGAGATGAGGTCATACATATCTGTGATATCATGATAACAGAGTGAGTACAGGGTATGATGTAATAATGAGCAACACTTTTTGTTTTCCCAATGGATACTATTAGTCTAGGCAATAAATGTGATTTTTGAATGTTATATGTCAAAATCCAGAACTTGGTAATGCAAATTTATAAAAACAAATGTATGGATGTCACAGTACTCTCCTCTTGAGACTTTTTCATTCTCACTTAAAAACAAACCTTTTCTTTTTGAGAAAAAAGCATCCCTGAGGAGTAGATAGTCCCTCTTAGCAGGAGAGGAATACTATGGTAGAAAATTTAAGATCACTAAGGAAGAAACCTGAATTCTAGTCCCAATAGCACCTATAACCCTGCAATGGAGACAAACTATTTCTTTTCTCCCAACCCGTTTTCTCATCTGCAAAATAAAAGTATTATTTATGATATATCCAAGACTCCTTGTAGATAAGATCCATGATCAAGAGAGGCTGACCTCACCAATTTTTCTAAACTACACTCTTCTGTCAAATGCAGTGCCTCCATTCTGACCTTATTGTTCTGTCTGAACAAACTCTCTGCCTGTTGTAGGACAATACATTCACTTAAATTCTAATTTATCTATTTATTCCATGTCAAGGGAAAGCAGGGGCATCGGATGAAAGCCCATCTTTCTTCTGTCTTGTCAAGGTTTATTTTAATTCCTGTGACTGACTGTCAGAGCTTTTACAAAATAAGCAGCAGCATACACTCAGTGAGACTCATTCTTTACAATTGCCTTTCCAAAATGGTAATGATGCACCTACTCCTGTGCCCCTGCATTCACAGATACTGATCTGAAAATTATGATGTGTCAGACATTTCACCACTTTAACACCCATCAACTCTTCTTTACATCTCTTATCCCAGCTTAACTGTAATGGATTTTTAGGTAGCACAGGAGGTTAGCCAACTAAGACAGAAGTTACATCATGAAGCGGTACAATACTGAATATACATTTCTTACCTTACGTTTGTTGGTAGGACACACATAGAGATAGCTCAAAATGGTCTTCAAACCGACTTTATCATTCAGCTTCTCATAGGTTGTCCCATAATCGGTTGACCTATAATTCAAAAGAAGCTTTAATGAGGACAGAGTATATGTCATTTGGCTGCTTGTCAGTATAATGCATGTTTTACATACTAGAATGGCTCTCTGGAGGTTTCTAAATGATTCATCTAGTATATAATGATGCTTAATTATGTACACAGTAGCATCATGTCAGTGGTTAACATTTGCATTTAAATTGAATTGGTAAAAATTAAAACTCCCTCTCTCTACTGCTCCTTAATGTATGCACTTTGCATAAACAACATGATTAATTTAAAAAGATGAAGAGATGAGGGTGTACCTTGAATTGACCAAAGAAATAAAAGAGTTTTTAGTTAGAAATAACATTTCTAAACTTTTGCTTTATCTTGGGCACAGTGTAAAAGCAAGTTCTCTTGATTTATCTACAAATTGTGTTTTCATTCATGAGTCATGGAATATACAGTCAGTTAGTCCCTTCAAAGGTCATTCAGTCTTTTCTTATTATTTAAGATCAAGAAAATGTCTTCATAGCAAGTGAAATTTCATAATCATCTCCATGGCCTTTTCTAGTGTTAAGCAGTCCAGAGTCAGGTGGACGGATCTTCTTGGCACTAATGTTATCTTTCTGACAGATTCTCTATCATTATTTAACCACTGGTCAATAACTTATTAGATCAGATTAAATAAACAGGTTTTAATCATGTTCTTTATGAAGTTTTACTTTCATCGTGCAACCATGTACAGCAGGGGATATTATCTGTGTTTGGAAGAAAGTGATTGACAGAACCTTAGTACTCTGTTCAAAGAGTTGAAAAATAGGCCAACTAGAATTTGACCTAGGTATCGGTTGTTTTCCTTTACCTCAGCTTTTTTTTTTAAATTTAAAGAAGATAGCTAAAAATTTCCTGTCAGGCTCTTTTTTTCACAGAGGAGGCTTCCAATGAAATTCATTCTATCACCCACATATGAGGAGCTCCAAAAATGTGCCAGGTTCTGTGCTCAGTGCCAGGATGTAATACTCAGGACCTCTTCTCATGTATCTAACTGCTTTATCTGAGAGACACAAATACAAACAAATTGTTGTGCTATGCTAGATACAATGATAGAGGTATAACCGACAATACTCAGAAAGCAAAGTTGGTTTAATCAGAAAAGCAAGAAATAGAAAATCTTATTAACGCATTTCTTTCTTTTTTTTGTGCTGGGTATCAAACCCAGGTTCTCATTCATGCTATGCAAGTGCTCTACCACTTGAACCAAAATCCCAGTCTGATAATGATAAAACTTACAAAGTCTGACAGGACATAAAGACTAAACCACTCCACTACCATTTATTAAGATCCTACTCTGGACCAGGCTCTGGAGAAAGAAATCTACACAGAAGTCAGAATATTCGATCAAAAGCATTATGCACAAATGATAAATACTAAAACAATATTTTAGGACTTAGATTTGTAAATTATTAAAGAATTGAGAATTATATAAAATGTCTTGAAAGGATTATGAACCTTGCCAATAGAGAGGAGTTTAGAAAAGGGAAGCAGGAAGAGCCTCATAGACTAGAAGTTACCTTGTGTGAAGGAGTTGTATAATTAGATTTCTTTAGGACCAGTGTCTGCACTGCCACAATCGTACAAACATTGGCTTGACAGTCAAGACTATTGTATCAACCTTCCAGAACTCTTTCACAGATCCTATTCACAAACCATAGCAAAACTTCTTAAAACCCTGCTCCCATATCCATGTTTTTTCCCCTCAAATTCACAGTGAATGTGAAGAAATTTCCTGCTACTTTCTAAGAATTATCTAATTTTTTTCCTCACTCAGTCCACTCTTCATATTTGGCTTTTTCCACTGTGTATTAGTTTTCCTGAGCCAGCATTCTCTTTCTACTAGAGCTTGCTTTGCTCCAAAAAATAGCTATTTTTCTAGCTTCTTTTATTGTATAGGGTTTTTTTTCTATTTATTATTTGAACACTACTTAAAAGTTCAAGAAGAAAATAGCAGATGGGAAATCTACCTCTGGGTTGGTGGGAGACAGATGAAATGTGTTAATGCTGCTACATTAATAAACTTTGATTAGTGACATGTGAAAATAGTAGGACTTCATTAGAGATGAGAGAATGTTTCAAATTTTCTATAGAATGGGAAAGGAGGCTAAGAAGTAGGAGCCAGGTTAAAATGGACATAACCATGAGTTTCTTATAATTTCTAGGAACATGATCTCTGGTTACTCAGTGAATGCTTTTACTTAAAATATACCCTTGGGTGGAGGTGTGGTTCAAGTAGTAAACTGCCTGCTTTGCAAACATGAACCCTGAGTTCAAATCCCAGTCCCACCAAAAAGAAAACCCACTAAAACTTATACCCTAGAAAGGCAAATGAGGGTTAGTCTGTAAATATTCTATAGGAAATCATTCTCATTGTGTATGTGTGTATGTGCACACACTTGTTTATATGCATATGTTCAGTTCCAATGTGGCAAGATGATAATGAAGTGAATGACTCACAGTTACTTTATTGATATTTTCCAGAGTTTATGCTATATTATTGGATACTTTGCTCTTATTATAACATTACTTCTTCATTGGTACATTTCCTTTGATTATCTGTCATTATTTTTTGTCCCCATCTCTAAAGTCTTATTTTTACAAAATTCAAAAACAACCCAAATTTAGTAATTCTCCATTCAACTAAAGCTATAAGTCTAAATATAATTACTTTTATAAGAAATTGATGAAAAGAGAAAAAACAATGCATTTTCATATACCCAAATGGTATGCAGTGGCAGTTTTCCCAGAATGTCTCACAACTAGAATGAAAGTGTTGGTAGATATCATGGTTAGAACTCACAATTGGCTGGCATACACTGGTATGGTGGTATAGAGTGAAAATGTTACATGTCTGTAAATTAGCTGGTAGATAGTCACTGACTATCCAGCTTCACCACCATGTCCTCTCCACTGCACACCTACTGGGATTCCTCACAGTCTGCCAAACAAAAGATTTAGGACTGACACAGTGAAGGTCCTCAAAAAACTTGTCCTACCATCAAGACCAGCAGAGTTGCTATTTGGACAGTGTCTGTGCCAATCAGCCTGCACTCACGTTTGGGAAGACAGTAACGTTAGGGTTGCACTATACTCTGGTAGGCAATTTTTTGGGTGTACATCAAATTTGCAGTGATCACATGCTTCCGGTTATCCCCATGTGGCCAACTGTGGAAACTGTAGTCTCTTGTTCTGAAGGAACAGAGGTGACAGATAGGTCAAACAGAAGGCTGACTGGTGAGCCTAGGTACTGGTTGTTAAATATGCATATCATCCCTAGGTATGGAAGAAGGGGCTATTTTCCAAAGTCAGAATATTGGGAACTGCTTGATTAGACAAAATTTAATATTCATTTACTTTAATAACTTTTTCTCAAATTATATTATTTGAATATATATTGACATATATATGGTAATATTTTCCAAACATATTTAATTATAAAATCCATTCTTGAGTACTATCAAATGAGATTAGGGTTCTGAACAACACACTTTTAGAAACACAATATCAAAGATCAAAAAAAAAGCAAAAGAAAGACAAGAATATTAGTTTTGTAAGGAAAGGGTAATAATAAAAATATTTTAAAAACAAAATTTGCCAAAACAAATGGCAGCCTATATTATTTATAATATTTATAATGCTATGAAGTGACTGTTACTAAAAAGAAAAAATAAAAACAAAATAAAAAAGGATTTTAAAAATATGTATCATGCATAAATATATTTAAGATGCAATATGTGGTGTTTAATTGAATTTGTAGCATTTTAAAAGATGTTCTGAAGCAAGCATTTTTATCTTCAGTATTTGTTCACAGATTGGCTTATCTATAGATTAAAAAACAGAACTTCTGTCAATACTTACAATATGGAAGAAGAAGCAGAAAGCATAAGGAAAGTAAGCATTCCAGGAAAATAAATATGCAAGTTATTAAATCAAAGCTGCCCCTTTTGATTTTGATCCTTAATCCTTCCTCTGTGCTTCTACAAGCGTTCTTAAGCTGTGGCTTTTAGAACATTGGAAAGCTTGTCCTTATTTAAGTATTCACTAAATACATGGAGCTGAGCTGAGTTGCTCTGAGGAATGGAGAAGCCACATCAGAAACATCCCACCTACCTTCCAAGAGCTTATGGTCTCCTTGAGATGGAAAAAAATCTCCTATTTCACTTGAAAAAAAAAGATCAATGTAGGACATGACTACTTTCAACAAGAAGCTGCAGGACTAAAATATGCAATTGAATTTCCTCTACTATAATCTTACATGAGCAAATGAAGTACAAAAGAGGCACAGAATCATTTGTCAATAATTAATCCATAAACGTGCTTGGAACAATGACTGTCACATAATAAGCAACCCATAAATGACAGTTTTTGATTTTCATTTTATAACTCATTTCTCTTGATTAGTTTTTGTATTCTTTGCCCAACACTTACTAAAACCCATAATGTGAACCCTTAAGGAAAATCTTTTATTTTTTATTTTTCTTCATATGTGCATACAATGTTTGGGTCATTTCTCCCCCCTGCCCCCTGCCCCTCCCTTACCCCCCCTTCCACTCTACCCCCTTGCTACCAGGCAGAAACTATTTTGTCCTTATCTCTAGTTTTGTTGAAGAGAGAGTAAAAGCAATAATAGGAAGGATCAAGGGTTTTTGCTAGTTGAGATAAAGATATCTATACAGGGAGTTGACTTGCATTGCTTTCCTGTACATATGTGTTACCTCCTAAAATAAAAGGAAAATCTTAATCATTAAAAAATTACTTCAGTTTGTTTTGCTGAGAAGACATTCATGATTCAATTACAACATTTTTTAATGTGGCTGAATTTAGCCCATCACATTTTGGGGCAAATGTGCTAGTAGTTTTATGTGAAACTCAGATCAGAGTTAACAGTAAGAACCAGAATAGGGGAGCTGAAGACTATAAACTCTGTTTCTATAGCAATCTTCCCTGAATTCCATTGCTGAATAGGCTGTCATGCTTA